CAAAATAGAAGCGTTTTAAGAAAGTATATTCACATCCAACTACATTTTCTCTTAGAATAGTATACTAGGGCTTCCAATACATGGATCCCATTCACTAGCATTTCCTTCAAAATGGAAGTGTTTTAAGACAGTATATTCACATCCAACCACATTTCCTTTTAAAATTTTAGACTTGGTGATTTTCTCTCGCTTTTGGCGATGCCACATGACAACTGATGTTTAGAGCTGTTTCATCGGAATAGCTGTACAGGAAGTCGACGACTTATTCGCTATTTGAGTCTCCTCTCTCATTCCAAAACATGGATCCCATTCACTAGCGTTTCTTTTAAAATGGAAAGTCGAGTCACTACATCATTGAGGTATTCTTCAAAACCCATCATTTTTTCATAAAGCAAACAGTCAAGGATAGGCGATTGCGCAATTAGTCTTATGTAGTTGGTAAATCTTTCATTTTTTGAGGTCATTCGGATGTCGGTTGTCGTGCTAATACACTGGTTTTAATTGATTTCTTAGTCTACAATATTCAGCTTCATAAGAGAGAAATGTAACTGATCAAATCTTTCATCATGCTGATAGTTGCCTTTACTTCAGTCTGTAATCTACCATATATTGCACGAATTCCTCTACTCTATGCAATATTTAGCTCTGTATCAAAACCAACAACAAGAAGTTGAATTAAAATTACAGGCTATAAATGATACTCTCTACAAAAATATTTTATAAATCAACTCCAAACTATGCCTTTATGTGACTTTTAATGCACAAACAATTGCAGACCTGAACTTCGCAGAGAAGCCCCAAACCATAGTCAAGCCGTGATAAAGATCGAACCACTTGACAGACCCAGTGTTTATTCCTGAGGCACCCGCTTCCCATTTGTCTACCACGACCTGGTTCCCAGACACTTGGATGATTGAGGCAGCCCGGCACTGCTGCCATGGCGATGCTGGTCGTGTCGGCCTTGACTGTGCTCTCATGGATTCAGAGGGGCGTATGCAACAGAAGTCGTCTAAAGCCTGACCCAGACACAAGGCAGATAAACTGAGGATATTTCAAGGGAGGGTTCGAGTCAACTTAACAAAAAGCAGAACTAACTAAAGGGTTGAGATAAAGCTTGGCCTGATATGCAACTCGACCATCCTAATCCAGCCTGGCTCGCTGACTATGCCGACCCAGATAAAGAAGAAACCAGGCCACTTTGAAAATACACATTTGTGAAGTGCCCAGTTGAGGTAAACAAGACAGTTCCTTGTCCTCAACACTGCAAATTTAGCATAGTTAGGCTGTAACAATTATTGCACCGAACCAGTATAGAACGTTTGGACGGTTCTCCAACAAAATTTACTGTCAAAACTGAACAAACGAGAAATTGTTCTTATACTTGGCAAGCGTTATTGAAAAAAGGAAGAATACGTAGATGGGTATGTGCAGGTAAAGATGGATGAGTGGTGGTAATAGTGGAAGAATGGATGGTTGAAATTAGT